CACACACACACACACACACACACACACACACACACACACACACACACTAAGGATGCACCCTGCCACTGAGGTAAAACCCCTGCCTGCCAATTTATACTGTTTTTAATTAATGAACAAAGGAAATTAACCTATCTCGTCACCAAATTTAGAGCTAGGACTCTAAGTGTTCCGGGTCCCCCGCACGAAGGTCACCTCCCTCCTCTGTCTTGTCATATTCTTGCACTTTCTTGTCCAGCGTGTGTGTCTGCTACCTCAGCAGGTCAAAACGAGTAAATCAGGGTGGAGTATAAGGCAGGAAGGGACAGAGGAGCCAGGGAACAAAATGGTGGGCATGGCGTTACTCAGGGGCCAGGAAGGAAACACTTGACCATTCTAGGCCTGCTGGGTGTAAAGAGGATATCCTACAGCTGAGTACACTTCTGGCCATGCCTGGGCGTCCATAGAGCTGGGTTGTTCTGAGTCGTTCGGTACTTAAGGCTTGCTTCTCCTGCAGTTTTATGGGAACTTAAGGTTTGTATAAGGAGTATTCTGGCACAGCTGGCAGTGTGCATTCCTTGATCCAAACGTTAGGCACGTGTAGCATTGAGAAAGGCTCGTGACCCGTGACCCGTGACCCGTGACCCGTGACCCGTGTGGAGTCTTTCCCATTAGTGAACATGATGAGAGAAAAGCAAAGGAAAAAAAAAAAAGATTTAAAATGGGACCCCAAGGTTAGCATGCCAAGGCATGGCAGAGTGAATGCTAAAACTTAATTCCCTGAGACAGATAGTGTGTGATCGAGAGACTGGGAAGCCATCATCACACAGCAGCACAAATCGATACTTTTTAGGTTATCGGGGCTCTGTCTCTCCCCTTTTGAATCTTGTAATGACGTCTTCGACTCAGTCCTAGAGCCACAGCATCCTGAGTGAGATCATTCCCAAGCCCCAGGCATTGCCATACCTGAGGCGATGGTCGCTCCAGGGTCACGGCCAACCTAACAGTGTTCTTACCTTCCTCCCTTATTGTGCCTTCCCCTAGAGCGGCACTCCTGACAAAGCACATCAGACTCCACACTAAGCACTTGCCAGGATTTATAGGGGACCCGCTCTCCCACCTGAGAAAGCAACTAGAGGTTGAGATGGTGCCACAGGATTTACATAAATGTAGGTGACACACTTGTTCGGTACCTATGACCTGCTCAAGCCTCCATCGTCTGGGAGGGCTCCAGCTTAAAGGTCACACAGCTGATTTCCATCTCACCTCATGCTTGGGTTCTTGGTGAAGCCAGTATTCACGAACACGGGGCAGAGGCATGAGGTCCGGATGCCCGTTTTCCCCAAGGTGTCAAGCTCTGCCGTCAGCGCTCTGTGGAAGCCCACAGCAGCGAACTTGCTGGAGCTGTGGGAAAACCAGCCATCAGCAAAGGTGGAGGGTAGTCTCAGCTGCCTAGGAGGAGACATTTCTCCCAACCTGCCGCTTACAGCTTTTCTGAGAGGGTAAATGTGATTAAACAGAATTCTGAACATGCCAAATATCTTTTTTCTTTTGGGCATTCAACTCAGGGATTGAGGCATGCCAAGAGTGTGCCCCACCATTGCTACACCCCAGGCCCCTGCTGCTAATTTCTAACTAGCAAAGAAAGTGAAAGAACACTTTACAGATTGACTTAATGTTTTCATATATATATATATAGTCATATATATATGTATGTATATATATATATGACCTTTTCTGCCATCCAGTCTATCTTCCAAATGTTTCTTACTCAAGTTTTATTAGTTTTATCTTTAAAAATATGAGCTAGAAAAAGATACTTAAAACACTATGAAACCAATACTGACAAACTTGTGAGACTGTGCACATTTTTCCTCTCTTCATTAATGAGTTGATGGTTTCTCTCTTGACGTTGGCAGTCTTATTGGCTTCCTAGTGTCATTATGAATATTTGTAGTTAAAGGACCCAAATGGTGTTGGTATGGGTATGTCTGTATTTGCAACCTTTAACACAAGATTCTGCGTTCTTTCTTTCTGATTATAAAATGTAGATAATAGAATATAAGACTGTCTTAGGAATTCAGTGAAATAGCATATTCATAGTAATTTATTATCTACAAGGATCTATATAAGTTTTAATTGTCCAGGTGACAAAAAAAAATCAGTGTTAAAAGTTCTCTTTGCCTGTCTGTCTGTCTCTGTCTCTCGTGTGTGTGCATGTAATGGAAACCTAAAACTACATTGAAATTTAACTTATCTGTAACCAAGGTTAGTGTGAGAAATTGTTTACTCCATGGTTGAATTTAGTTTTGAATGTGCATATAAAGAAATAACAAACTGAACAGCATGACTCTCCCGCATTCCCATACCTTGGTAAGATTGTTTCTGAGATTATCCTAGAGCAGAAATAGAGAAATAAGATGGCAAGAGCAGGCTCCACGGGGGTGTATTGCAGATAGTGTCTGTGTCCCTGGGACGCGGTGTGTAGAGTCTGCATCTCTTGCTATCTCTGCATCTCATTTTCTTTCTCTCACAGTCGTGTACCTAAGCACAGGATACCTCTGTGCTCACTGTAGCTTTGGCATGCTTCCTGGCCTGTTGTATTTCTTGCCTCAACCTCTACTCATTCCAGGTTGCAGCGGAAACATACTCCATGGGGGAGTTTCCAGAAGCCTAAAATATCTTAAGTAAAATTAGAGCCAGTTTCCTTGTAACAGAAGTCATTTAAAAATTATCCTAAATACTATGTAACTTGCCTGCATCCAGTCACCCAGGCGTGGGCACTGAGGCCTGAAGACTAATAATCCCTTAGAAGTGCAGAGACGCAAAGCGCCAGAGCAGGCACTACCTACCAGTACGAGATGAGATAAGGAATCACTCCGTGGCCACACACGGAAGCCACGGTGACAATGTGGCCCGAGTTTCTTCTTAGCATCGATGGAAGAAGTGCTTTTACGATCTAAGGTCCACGTAAAAAGAAAAGAGACAGTGGCACGGACATTAGATGGATCCCAGGTCAGGCCATTTCGTTTGTGCTGGGGTGGAAACATTGGAAAACACTGGAAGACACTGTGATGGTCTGGGACAGCTCGGAGAGTGTGTCCTTTAGATCACACTCTGAGGGCCTGAGTTTACGTGCCCCCTTCTTCCCTTCAGGAGGGTTAAATGGCTGCTTCCTGGACATGCCATAGAAGCAACATCGTTATTACTGTTTTTATAGTGCCAGGGATTAACCCGAGGGCTTTGTGCGTGCAAGGCCAGCATGCTCCTGATCTCCGAGCAGCATTGTCAAGGGAGAGAGGCCCAGACTGAACTGAGGCGTAGCTCAGCATTTTACAGGTTCTCGGTTTCAGCTGAAGGATGGGAGTCTACTTGTATCAAGGCAACTGAAGAGAATAAGCCAAGTTCTGGCTGGCCCAGGCATTGTGAGCGGGTCCATGGCTCTCTCTTGTGACAGTCTATATTATACAGTATGTAATGGAAAACAAGATATCTTTGCTTCCAAAAAAAGCCTCACTGTATAGTGAGAAATATCAATAATATTTTATGAGAATTTTATAAATCCATCCTTCAAATTCTGTGCAAATTCTTAGAGCCCAGACAGCCGAGACAACCCCCAACCAGCTCCTGCCTACTGACCTGTGTGGAGATAATGAACTTTCACGGTTGCTCTACACCTCTAGCTTTTGATAGCTTTTGTGACATAGCAATAACTTGCTATTAATTAATCAATAACTAATATGCCAGGTCTCTGTGTAGTGTGACTGGCATGCTGGCTGAATCATGGCATGTATGAGGGCTGATGAAGGGCGTCTTCAAATCCAGGTGCCGAAGCATTAGTTCATGGAAATGCTCTCTCCAAAGGGTCGAGAGTCACACTCCGGTTTCTCATAAATGACACATAGTAAGAAGCCACCTGCATTCCACGGACCTAATGGGCTAGCTCAGCCCCCAGCCTGGAGGCTGCGTGTAGCCAAGGCTGGCTATGAACACAGGCCAGTTTGAGTACATGGAACACTTGGAGAGGGTTTTCTTTTTGGCTAGTCGACTGTGATGTCCTCAGCCGTGAACTTTGTAGGTGATGATGTGATGTCAAGATGTCAAATTATCCCGAGGCTCCCGCAAAATGTCCCTAAGTCCTTCACATGTGGAGTAGCTGTGCTCTGTCCTTTCAGCTCTAAGCGCCCATGAAAGGAGGACAGGGACAGATGTGTTCAACATGTGTTTTCTCTAAAACCCTGCAGAGGTGTGTACAGAGACAACTGTCGCCAAACCTCCACAAAGGTGCTTTTTTTTAGGCCCGCTATACACCAGGCTCTATGTTAGGTTTTGTTTGACAAAACACACCAAATGGCTTTCTTTTGAGTGGACTGTGTCCTCTTGAGCTCTGGGTCCTGCTGCCAGAGACTATGGCTCTTCTCCTCAAACCCATCACAAGATTTCTGACTTAAAAACAAACAAACAAAAAAAAAACAAAAAAAAAAACAAAAAAAATAAAAAAATAAACAAACAAACAAAGTTTGCATTTCCCCACCCCCCAAAGATTGTGAACTCACTGAGTTTCTGGTACTGAGGAGATGCCAGGTACACACAAGCCAGACACGTCTCTGACTCACTCACCCAAAAGTGTCCTAGGATGTTGACCTCAAAGGTTCTGATAATCTCTTCATCCTTGGTGCTGAGAAGGTCGGCTGGGTATATGGCCCCGGCATTGTTTACCACGATGTCCACGTCACCCACTTCCTTTTTCACCTTTTAAAATGAGAGAGTGCACACTTGGTAGCTTAACCCTCACAAAGTCATGGGACTCTGTATAGGGGACGGATGGAGGCGCATTCCTATTCTCTTTTGTAAGAACATACACTCTGCTGTGTAGAAAGGAACCAGAACATATGTATTATTCATAGCTTAGGACTTACAGACTGTGTGTTCTGAGCTAACCACTCCACTCCCCTACCCAAGGAGTCTGAGGTTGACACCAGCAGAAACCAGGCAGACTCGCCATTTCTAAAGAAATAAATAAAAAGCCTGAGCCCCAAAACCTGCAAAAGGAGGGAATGGTGCAAGGGATGATAATGACAGACACACAGACAGCACAAGCCACACAGCCACGGCTGACAGGGGCGAGATTGAGCTCAGAGACCAACCACCTCAGTGCATACCCACTGCCCCTAGAATCCACCAGCTGTGATGACAGGCAGGACGGGTCTAGGCTATCAGAGCAAAGAACAGGCTTAAGATGCCATCTGTCAGTGCTCACAGGCTTCAGAGACAGCCAGCCGGCCACAACGCCATCTGGGGCCTTTTCACTCAAGCATGTGAGGCCTCTGAGAGCTCGGACGTGAGAGAGCAGGCTCACACACTGACACACGAGGGAACAGGCAGCAGGTGGGCTGAGCTGTTGTGGGTGAAGCCTTAGGTTTGGGGATCAGTGTACAGCGGTGGTGTGAAGGCTTATCAGCTAAATAAACAAGAAGGAACGCTGGGGCCGGGGAACTAGTACTTCTGCTCTGACAAAAGAGTTTCCCCAGTGTTGTGTTAACCTCGGTTCTGCTGCCCACCAGCCGCTTGATCTCTGTCTGGCCAGAGCTTCCAAGTGCTCGCTCGCTTGCTCGTCCCGAGTGGGGCTGATGGGATTTGGGGGATCGGTTGAAGGAGGCTTAGGGAGGGGCTGTGTGCCTCGAGCCGAGCATCTGCTCTCCTCTTTCTCACTGTTTTCAGTGGGAGGGCAGGCAGCTCAGACCTGACCCCAGGACACACAGCATGGAAGGAGAGAGCCCAGCTTCACACGCTGTCATCTGAATTCCACGCCAACACTCCCGGAGGTGTGTGCACCCCCCCCCC